ATGTAAATCGCATTGGATAAAAACAAGTAATAAGATAATATTTAAGTTAACTAATAAATAAACATTCATTGACACACTAATGCATAGATAATAATAATCCAGTGATTTGATCTGAAATTGGACTTTATGTACAAAAAGTACGTGTATATGTGTACATGCTAATGCTTTTGTTCTTTACTTAAGTTAGATTTTGAATGCAGTACTTGTACTTGTAACAGAGTAGTTGTACAAGTACTTCTTCCGCCACTGTTTGTGTTTAAAGGTTACACACAACACAAGAATGACAACAGAAATAGCTCCACCCGTTAAAGATAACACACTGTCGTTCAAATGTGATGACACGCCTAATGCAGTGGAAAATGTAAGGTTTGAACACCTAAAGCTAACAGTTGGCATTAGTTTAAGGAGCATCCAACTAGCAGCTAAATAAGCTAGTGAGGAGCTATGTTATTACTTACATGCTTTGTTATGTACCGACCTCCAAAGGGAACCCAAGCCGTAGCCTACGTCGTCCTTTTGTGTATAAATATATATCGAAACACGGTGATAATATATACTTGAGAGCAAACGTATTCTTAAAAATGTGTATCTGTCCTCTGTTGCTCATATGCCGGTGCGAAACCAGAAACAAACGTTGTTTACTTCCTGAAAGTTGTCCCGCCTATTACACCGCACAGCCAATAGAATGCAAGGGAAAGTTTTTCAAACGAGACAATATCCAATGGAAAGCAGTAGAGGCAGGATTGTGAAGTATTAAGCACTCATACTGATAATTTTACTTAATGTGCTTTTAATAATACGTTTTCAACAAAAAAAAATATTACATAGGATCTCCTACAATGATTGGTGTAAAAGCCTCATGATTACAACCAGCATTTAACACTCTTTAGCATAATGGGTTTTTCTTATATGTCATGATTTCTATATCCAGTCAAGATGACACAGCTTTCTGTGGAGTGATGATGGCACATGGCAGCCTATATGCTATAAGTATTTTGAAGAGCATTAAGGCATGATAATAATAATAATAATAATAATAATAATAATAATAATAATAATAATAATAATAATATAATACTAATACTAATAATAAAAAGCCTTTCAAGGGACCCAAGGTCGCTGTACATGGTGGACAAACAAAACAAACAGACAATCAACGGGCAAACCAAAAAAATAAATAAAGGAAGCCTGGGGACCAGAAAAGGGCTAGGGCCCGAAGGCCAGGGTGAACAGGTGTGCTTTTAATGATGATTTGAAGATGTCCAGGGAGGCAGCATTACGGATCTCGGCAGGAAGTGCACTCCAGAGGGTGGGGGCCGCAACACTGAATGCCCTGTTCACCAACAGTTCGGAGCGAGAGCGGGGGATGGAGAGCAGGCCCGTGTCTGAGGACCGCAGACTCCGAGAAGGGGTGTAGGGATGGAGGAGGTCCGATAGGTACTGGGGGGCGAGGGAATGGAGGGACTTGTACGTGAGGATGAGTGTTTTGTATTGAATCCGGGACTTGACCGGCAGCCAGTGTAGGTGGATGAGGGTGGGGGTGATATAGTGCCATGGCTTGGTGTGGGTTAGAAGCCTGGCGGCAGAGTTCTGGACGTATTGGAGTCTATCCGGGTTTTGCTGGGAACCCGGACAGGACTCCATTGCAATAGTCCCAGACGGGATGTAATAAAGGCGAGTACAAGAGTTTTCTGCCACAGAGTCAGAGAGTGAATGCCGGATTCTGGCATGTTTTTTAGGTGGTAGAAGGAGAGTGCTGAGACCTTTATATATACAGTCTATGGCTGAGACCCGCAACATGAAAGCAATAACCGGTAGGCCTACTTGGTAAGGAGCATGTATTGATAATCAGCCGTTTGCTTCCACAAGCGAAACGGGAAACAAAAAGAGGTCTGGAGGACTGGTCAAAAAGAACAAATAGAAGCTCTGACTCAACCAGGTGCCCAGCACTGCTTGAGTCACACTGGGAACAGAATGTCCAGCCTGTTAAGAGGCGGACAAAAGTGAGCGGCGAGGACCAGCTCGCCGCTGCACCAATGTCTTGGATGGGAGACATCCTGGACAGAGCCCAGGATGCAGCCAGACCCTGAGTCGAAAGAGCTCGCAGACTCCGAGGGTGCCTGCGAACTCTGACTCGTATGGGCCCCAAAGCAATTGCTTCCACAAACCAGTGGGAGAGCCGTTGCTTAGTAACAGGCTTGCCCTTATAAGGGTTAGCCCAGGACACAAGGGGTTGGTCATTATGACGAAGCACCCTTGATCTGTCCCTGTACGTGCGTAAAGCACGGGCTGGACACGGCAAATCCGGCCGCTGTTCCCCGGAGGAATACAGTGGCGGGGAGGATGCCTCAATGTCAATGTGGTACCTGAACCAACCGCCTTAAGATAAAGGCAGGGTTGGGCTTCAACCACACTCTGTTTGCCCTGGGGCGAACTGAGTGCATGAAGACTGTACAGATAGCGCATGAGTGCCACTGGCTCGCTTGGCAGCTGCCAGGGTCAGCTTCATGTCACACTGTATTCAGGTTGTACCACTCACGGGCCAGGCCCATAGAGCCAAGCGCTCTGGGTGTGGGTGAAAGATCGCCCCCCCCGCTTGGGACAGTATGTCCCTGCGTAGTGGGAGCTGCCATGGCTGCCCGCACAGCAAGCTGATATATCTCCGCTAGCCAGTACATAGCTGGCCAGTGCGGAGCTATCAGGATAAGTGTGTGGCGTTGCTCTCTCACTCTGGCCAGAGTTGGGGGTATCAAGAGCCAGGGGTGGGAACGCGTACAGAAGGCCCGGGGGCCAATCGTGCGCGAGTGCATCCACGCCTAACGGTGCATTTAGATCGCGCATCGAAAAAGAACAGCTGACACTGAGTGTTGTCTTTCGATGCGAACAGATCCACCGCGGCTCTGCCGTAACGCACCCACAGTTGGCTCACAATCCTTGGATGTAGAGTCCAGTCTGCATAAAGTGGTATACCTCTGGACAGTAGATCTGCCCCGAGGTTCATCCCTCCCGGTACGTGCGTCGCTCTCAGAGAGAGGAGACGTCTACCGCTCCATAGGATCAGTTTGCGCGCTAGTGTGTGTAACTGGAGAGAACGCAAACCCCCTTGGCGGTTAATATACGAATTGTGGTCGTATTGTCCTGTCCTCACGAGGACGTGATGTCCCCTGAGGAAAGGCAGAAAGCGTTTAGGGTGAGAAACACCGCTAAAAGCTCCAGGTAATTTATGTGCGCCCGCTGGAGGTCTCTGCTCCAGAGACCCCTCACCGGGCGACCTTCATAAATACCTCCCCAACCTGTCAGACATGCGTCCGTGGTGACCACTTTCCTCCGTGAAAGGACAGCAACCCATAGGCAACACCTCGTACTAGAAAAGTCGGGTGCAGCCAGTGGCACAGTGCCATTACGCATTTCACAGTAACCATCACTCTCCATGGCGCGCAGGGTTTAGTTTTAGGGCGGCCACCCAGCTCTGATGTGTAAGCGTCCCAGTCGTACGACCAGGATGGCTGAGGCCATGAGCCCCAGCAATCGCAGGCATGATCTGAAGAGAACATGTTTGCGCAGCTGGAAAAGAGCGAGACAAGCTCTGAAAGCTTTCACTCTTTCCGCTGACAAGCGAGCTGAAAAGGGCACCGAGTTCAGGCATAAACCCAGGAAGAGTATAGTCTGCGCGGGGCACAACATGCTCTTCTCTGTGTTTATTATGAAACCCAGGTTAAGCAGGTGCTTTACGAGGACATTTGTCTGCGTAACAGCCTCCTGCTCCGACTGTGCGAGAAGCAGCCAGTCGTCCAGGTAGGTCGCCAGGCGAATACCCTGTTGTCTTAACGGGGTTATCGCGGCTTCCGTACATCGTACAAACACCCTTGGACTGAGAGACAGACCGAAGGGAGTACTCTGTATTCATAACAGATCCCCTGAAATGCGAATCTCAGATATTTCCTGTGTGGGTAATATACTGGGATGTGAAAATACGCATCTTCAGGTCG